CTGTGCTTTGTCTCTTGGATTTTCCGTGGTTGGCTGCTGGTTTCCCTATGCTGGGAGAAATCCCGTGCCTTTGCCCCCTTGGTTCCGTGAATGGATGTTCGGTTTTGGGTTCCCTACTTGGTTCCGTGAGCCTCCTTCTCTGATTTGTTGTGCTGTTTGGGAACTTGTGTTTTGTGGCTGTTGGCTTTTCATTTCCCTCATTTAATTAAGTATTTGAAGGGTTTTAGTGGATGCTTGTATTCCCTCTTTTGGTCTATAAATAGGAGATGTTTTTGGATGATTAGTAGTGGTGAAAATGTTATTTTTGGAGTAAGAAAACTTGAGGGTTTTTTGGAAAAGCTTGCGAGCTTTGCAACTTCTTCTTCTACTTCTTTGGAAGGCTTGCGAGCTTCTCCACCCTTCGTCTTGGCTTCTAACCTCTTTCGTCTCTTCGCAAGTTTCATTCCACTTGTATCCTTCTTCTCAAAGCAAAGCTTCTTTAGGTGTTTGTCTTTATTGTGTCGTTTGTAAGAGTAAAAAGTTTGTAAGTCATCTTTTATTATAAAATGTGTCTTTTTGGGTATTTTTGAGTATTTTATGTCTTTTATATTTTCTAGGAAGAGTTTTCTTTTGTGATCAAAAATTTGGGGCCCTCTCCCAAATTTTTGATTACATCAATTTGGTATCAGAGAAAGTTAGGAAGTCCTAGGTTTATGAGTCGGTTTGTCACGTAATTCTTGGTGAGTCATAACAAGTTTTATGTGTCTTGATGTCATAAGTTGTTTTGTTTGTGAGTTCTAGTGAGTCTTGGTAGGTCATAGTAGTTATTGTGTGAGTCTTGTGAGCCTTGTTTTGTTGAGTCTTTAAAAAAAAATGGATAAAGACAAAAAGATGGATTCAATCAAGGAAGAAAGCAAGCAAGAAGATCCTGAAGTCCCCCTTCCGATAGACAGATAGGTTCCGACTGAAGGAGATTCCACATATCCACTACAAGACAGATTATACAAACTTCAATATCACATGTTCTTATGTGATGAGAAATTAGAGAAAAAGAAGAAGTATCTTCAAAGACAGTTCAAGAAAGAGCAAGAAGAAATTTGGAAAAAATTTGAAGCAAAAATTCAAGAACTGGATGCACCGTCTTCGCCTCCTCAGAAGAAAGCTAAAAGCGACTCATCGGGAGATGAGTTTTTCAAATAGGGGAGTGATGTAGGCAGGGGGGCGAATCAAATCCTAAAATTTGATTTTTGACTTCTCTAGCTCATTAATGTCAAGTGGGAGGTTAGCTCATTATGAGCTATTTTTAGTTCATTTATTGAACTAAAAATTAGCTCATTATTACTTTGGACTTGTCTTTTCTCCTCCCCCCCCTTTTTTCTTTTCATTTCCTTGCGCTTGATGTTTTCCCGTGCAATGCCCCTTGGATTTCCGAGTATGGATGTTAGTTTCCTGTGCTTTGTCTCTTGGATTTCCATGGTTGGCTGCTGGTTTCCCTATGCTGGGAGAAATCCCATGCCTTTGCCCCCTTGGTTCCGTGAATGGTTGTTCGATTTTGGGTTCCCTGCTTGGTTCCATGCTGGGCTGCTTGGTTCCGTGAGTTCCCTGCTTGGTTCCGTGAGTCTCCTCTGATTTGCTGTGCTGTTTGGGAACTTGTGTTTTGTGGCTGTTGGCTTTTCATTTCCCTCATTTAATTAAGTATTTGAAGAGTTTTAGTGGTTGTTTGTATTCCCTCTTTTGGTCTATAAATAGGAGATGTTTTTGGATGATTAGTAGTGGTGAAAATGTTATTTTTGGAGTAAGAAAACCTGAGGGTTTTTTGGAAAAGCTTGCGAGCTTTGTCCACTTCTTCTTCTTCTACTTCTTTGGAAGGCTTGCGAGCTTCTCCACCCTTCATCTTGGCTTCTAACCTCTTTCATCTCTCCGCAAATTTCATTCCACATGTATCCTTCTTCTCAAAGCAAAGCTTCTTTAGGTGTTTGTCTTTATTGTGTCGTTTGTAATAGTCAAAAATTTGTAAGTCATCTTTTATTATAAAATGTCTTTTTGGGTATTTTTGGGTATTTGATGTCTTTTATATTTAATAGGAAGAGTTTTCTTTTGTGATCAAACATTTGGGGCCCTCTCCCAATTTTTTTATTACATCAATTATTATAATGACCAAGTAATATTTTAATAATGACCCAAATTTTTGACATTCATGTTTTAATTACATTAGCTAATATTGTATCCTCATTTTAATATTTGTATAATGTTTTAATTACATGCATATTGTATATTACAATTTTAAAGAAAGTAATATATCATCAAGTAATGTAATTTTCATAAAAGGTAATTTTGATATATAATATATAGGCAATATTACAAATATCAAAACATTCATATTAAATACTATGAATGTCAATATAAAATAGCAATTTAAATTGGGAAATAGTATTATATTAAATAGTTCAATAGCTTGCAATCACCAGTGAGAAATGACTACCTAAAGAAGCTAATAATTGGATGTCTACTTGATCTTCAGAGTACATTCAAGAGATGTAGAAGTAGAGTTACACACATACACCAAGAACTAATTCACATACTATACTACAACAATAACATAAAGCCTTTATCCCACTAGTGGAGTCGGCTACATGAATCCTTTTTCTCTATTCACATGTTATACTACGTTTCCAAATTAAGAAGATTCAGGAACCCATTATGTGTAAAATCATAAAAAATTATCAACAAGATATGCCAACATATGGCATTAAATAATTCTAACAATAACAGAAAAACATCAAAAGAAATTAGATATAGATGATAGAAATATATCAGTTGAGGAATGCCATGATAAGAATAAATCAGTAAGATCAATTTAATCTTTGACTGTGAACTTAAAATGAAAATTAAAGCAAACCTGGATAACAATTTACTATAATATCCTGCGAAAAACAAACTCTTACCCCTTTGGATGATTGAATGTTGGAAGAAAACTGAGAGCTCAATTGATCCTGCCGAAGTTGGCTTGAATCCTGTTGCCTTGCATTAGATGCAATTGACTCTTTATGGTCACGAATAGTATCCCAGGACCTCTCCCCTCCACTTGAGGGAACTTGTCCAGAACGGCCACGCCAATCCCGATTATCGGGTTCATAATAGCGATTCTGAAATTGGCTTTGCAACTGCTTTTTAAGATAATAAATCTTAAAACTAGAGATAATAATAAATTAAATATACTACGATTTTAAAGAAATTTGCTCATTTAACGGGAATTCAGTCATGCATACACTTAAAAAAGTTCCATAAGAACTCACATTGGCATCACTACCACCCCAAGATTGGTCTTCACCATGAAGTTCAGCATCGATCTCTTTTTTGACTTTTAAAATATCCTCAGGAACTTCAATAACCTTAAAGATAATGCATAAAGGAAGGTTTAGCAGAGCATAATAAATGGTAGGAGTCCTTCTGAATGGAACTCTAGTTATATGAATAATGATTCATCATTCCTGGTTCATAATTACTATGATTTGATAAGAATCTTTACTTTAATTCAATTTTTATCATAATTAGTTTAACAATTTTACGGTAATTTTAAATAGGCCAAGAAAGGATCTCTAAAGGAAACGTTGCAAGGCATCTATTAAAGTACATGTTCGTTGTATTGAAGAATTTAAAAAAAAAAAATTCAACATAAATTTTTTGTACTATGCTGCACCAAAGATCACAATGTGCTCACAAATTGTAAATAAATAGAAAGGATTTGAAAAACATCCACCCAAGTTAGAATGACTGTTGCTGAAATAAATCAAGCAAAAAATAGAAAAAATACAGGCATGATAAATATAGCACATTTCAATAAAGCACACATGCATGACATTTAAAAGAAATCTAACATTCTACTAACTCTTATTCAAACTATGAATCATAAAACATACAAAATTCACTTCCAGTTATTATGAACATATTGAACAGCAAAGTGATCAAGCGGATACCAAAATAGTTACAAGCTAAAAATGATCTAACCAAGCATTTTAAAGGGTCCACTGAAGCTAGTTCCAACAGAATCCAATGAACAACAACAGAAAATAGCTTGGATCAATAAGCAATGAGCTCAGGTTAACAACTAAAACTATATATGGATATTGCACAATAATCAGCAATAATTCTCATTAGCATAGTAGTCGACACCACGTAAAACAATGAAATCAACTTAATATGTTTGCAGTTTGCATTAGATTTGTCAGGCCAAAACATTTTCCTTTCACTATCTTGACCTAACCATTTTCTCCTCTTTCTCTAAGCCAACAGCATTTCCTATTAAAGCCCCCTTCAACTTTTGACGCACCTAATTAAATCTTCTTAAGCCTTCATAATAATCTGGAGATCATTTGTTAAAATAGCATCTACAATATGGTTTTTTATTTTGATTAAATCAAAAGTTGTTTTAAAAAAATAAATGAAGATTAGCTTTTTTTTTTACCTAAATCCAGAACTTTCTGATGTTCCATTTCTGTCTAAAACAACGGATCAAAACTCAGTATGCTCATACTTTTAGGCATTGAATTATGTAAATGTACCTCACGAAGTTGCAACAACTGGTCTCGAGTGTACAGAATGTGTTCACGTCCCTCAAACCTTGAATCTCCACCCTACAAAAAGAATATATAAACTAAAAGACAAAAAATTTTACAAACAAATAAATCACAAAGGCGGCACAAGAAATGGAGATGAAAAACAACATCAGCTGCGCAATTCACATCGACTAAAAATCAAACTATCACAAGCCTAGTCCAACTATCTCGGGCTAAATTCTGCATAAACACCAGAAGACAGTATGATGTAGTTTCCGTTGTTCTACCAGAAAACCAATTTATCTCTTCCACTATGACATGTAAAATAACCACTGCCACAAAATTTGCAAGAACCTTAGAAGGAACAATAAATCCTTGATCAGCTGTCAAGTACCCAATCTTGAACCAAGGATAAAGGATAAAAAAGTGCAGACCTAAAAACTAAGTGTAGATCACGAAGGCAAACCTTTAAGCAAAAATTCATGCTTTCAAAAAGTGGCTGTGAATGCTCAGCCAATGGCACCAGAAAGGAGTTATCCTACTGTTTGTATCATGTTAAATGAGAAGACCACAACAAGAAAGTTCCGAGAACTAGTTCATAGCACATGAAAATCAAAATTAAACAAAAAGGACAATAAATTCAAGCAAATGGTCTGAGATTGACGCTCCGAAAGTGCCATCATGATCGCAATTTTCAATAAAATCTACCTGATTCAAGAAGAAATCAATCAGATCGCTCATCAAGAAACAATCTTGGGCATGCACCAAATTCGTATCACCAACAAGTATAGAAGATAACAAAATACGAGAAAATCGATAGTAGTTAGGCTGAGAGCCGCACTAGATTTGAGATAACCTTGGATGCGCCGCCATGAGGACGAAAGACAGATGCGTCGGATATCGAGCTTAGGGCTGCAACACTGCCAGAACCGGAGTAAATTGTTGAATCAAAACGGGGGGCAAGGAGCCTGCTGCCTCGATTGCCGCCACCACCAGGCCTCAGGCTCAGCACCGTCTGATCCGCCTGCATAACTCGCCGGAATCCTCTCTGTAACGCTGCGATCTCACGGTCACGCGAATAAATTCGCCGAACAATAACGAGAAACAAAGATAGGAAAACCCTTCGCGAATCCCGCTCTCTCGGGAAGGAAAGGGAAGGCCAAGAGGAGAAGAAAAGAGGTGGAAGGCAAGAGAGCGTCAATGGGGGCCGAAATTCCAATTTATGATCCAATTTATGAATTCGCTTGTGGCTTTTCCGTAGTTTGTGGTGTTTTTGTGGATGAAAAAAGAGGGCCTTCAAGCCACGGTAGCGTGCACCGCAGAGCAGAAATACCCTAACTCGAGCTCAGGCGTTGATGATTTTGTGATATGACGACTCTACCCCTAAAATATCATCGAAATATCGGATTACGCCCACGGCGAGCGATCGTGCGTCCGCCATGACGCTCTTGACACGTGCGGTTCATGGTGTAGCAGGTCACCCGTCGACGTTGGTAGAGGCCTTATGGGGAGAGAACGGACACGTGTCGGAAATTATGATTTTGCATGTAGAACTTGAATTTAATTTAAGGAGCCTAATTTTATATTGATTTGATTGGGATTAATATTAGTTGAGTTGAAGTTCACATAAATTTAATAGAATCATATAAAATGTAATTAGACTGTCAAAAAAAATTCCTAATTAATATTTATCATCAAAATTTAGATCAAATTGATTTTTCTTAATATAATTGAGGCACAAAGTTATTTGTACACAAAGACATATGGAGGTATAACCTCCCGCTTAAGTACGCATTTAGTTAAGTACGCAAAATTTTAACAAAAACTAGGGTTCAAAATCTATAACTTAAACATGTCATGAATTATCATTTGATGTATGTTTTACAATTTATTACATCTGACATTGAGGGTTACTGTCAGAATATTCCTCTGAAACAATTCAAATGATTTTGCATCATTGGGACGCATTCAATCATTTTTCATTTGGTTTCTTCGACATCTTCAAAAAGATAGGCAAGATGTCGTACAAACATACTCTGAATCAGCTATTGATGTGCGGAAGGGAGTGAAATCCTTCCACGGGAGCTGGACGTGCGGACGGCCGGACGAGAGCTAGTTGTGCAGACGGTGGATGGGTTTGTGGACAGAGCTGGGCATGCAGATGGTGGTTGGGCTTGCGGACGGAGCTGGGCGTGCAAACAGGAGTATGTTGTTGAACAGTCAAACGCTAATTGGGCATGCAAAAGACCGAATGAGAGTTTGGTTTGCGAATAGCGGACAGGAGCTAGGCGTGCTGACGTGGATGGGGCATGGCTTGCAAACGAGAGTGAAATCCTTGAATAAACCTAAGTACGCACGTACCGGTTAGGCATGCACAAAATTTTCGAATTCAACATGTGTACTTAATTGGGAGTCTACTGTTGACATCTCATGCCCATTACTTGAGAATATGTAGAACTAAGCTAGCAACCTCCATTCTCACTAGTATTTTGCTTACTCAAATGCATTTTCTTGCAAAAGTTCAAAACATTTCTAAAATACTTCATCTCCTAAATTCCATTGAAGAGGCTAGGAAGTTTGATTAACCTATAATTTGGGACTCCCAATATGCTCAAAATCTCATCATAAAAAATGTTATATCATTTAATCACTGATCAAAGACGTGCAATGGAAGTAATATTTGATGATCATCAATTGTTGCATTTAATTTCTAAATTCTCACACTTAATTAGGTTTGTACACTAGATGTTTAACTATGAAACCTCGACAATAATTGCTCGAATTAACTCATTACACTGGTTAGGTTTAATAACTAAATTAAGACTGCTTTATAACTCCCCAACCCTAGTTACTTGATCTCCCATTCTGCATGGACTCATTGACTAGATGTCTAATGTCTTAGTGGATAGTATTTTCCATGTTTCCACCCAACATAACCAATCTCTTGTATCCCAACATTTGCATGAATATTTCAGCCTTGCACCCATATAGTACATAACCAACATATCCATTATCATCATTCTTTGGCTCCCAATAAGAATCACATCTTCTAAGAGAAATATTATCTTCTAATGGAAGCTTCAATGGTGATGCACATCAACTACCATGCTAATGGGTTACAAAACTCACTAGTTAGTAACTAATTGAAACTTGTTTGCATTTCTTAAATAAATGAGATATGATCTGATTTTTCTTCTTCTTTAATAAATGATTTTTTCACCAACACCTTTCTCATCATCACCCAAATCTCACCTCTTAATGTTGCATATTTTCGGATGGCTATCAAGGTTATTGAATATCTTTCCAAACTATTATTAGTGTCATCCTGTGACATCATTTGATCATATTACACCATAATGCCCATTAACATTCTCTAAATTGGCACATTGATCTTTCAATCATTTCCACTTAGGTCTTCAAAGGAAAATTAAGTTTATGTTTCTTAGGCACCCTATTGACCATTCCCCACTTACATTTATGGCTTCTTATTGGTATCTCAATATTTAAACTAACAAAATATTTCTTGTTTGGCCTCCTAAAGTGTTCCTACTAACATATAGTTCCATGTTAAATAACAAATAATGCATTGACTTTCAACCAACATGAGTTGACCAACTTATATTATTATGTGTTTATTGGTCATACATATTTTGCGCCTATGCTTGGACGTCAATCTAAAATCGCACATAGTTGGCTTTTATTCTCACTCAATAAGCTTTAATTAGGCTTAATTAATATGGGTCAAGCAGAACACTGCACATCAGAGCACACAGTAATTGGTTTATTATTATGAGCCAATTAATACTTTTGCACATATTATAGGATGTCACCACAATATTTTAGGATAATCTACCCTAGTTCTTTCTAGGTCCATGTGCCATTGAATGTCACACCTATTAGAGACATGTAAAGTAATCATTTTGATCTCCCTATTTCATCATTATCATGCATTAACACTTTGATTATATCTTGAGTTGATTCCATTTTGATTGTTTAGCCATGCCTCTTTTTCTAAGGATTCATTTTGACTTAGCCTTGCTATTTTGGTTGGGTTTCTACCATTATAGTTATGCTCTTTTGATTATCTTATATTTCATAGAAGTGACATGTTCTAAACTAGTTACACTCTAAATCTAATTATGCTCTTTTGACTAGGTATATTTTGATCTTGCTATACTCTTTTAGCTAAATCTCTTTCTAATGTATTCATGCTCTTTTAGCTTAGCCTAATCAAGCTCATTTCCAAAAAAATTTCTTAATTTGGTCATGGACTTTTGGCTAAGTTTTTCCCTAGCTTAATCATGCCCTTCTTAATAAGCTTTCCCTTGAGATAATATTGCTCATTTGAATCATTTTATTATTCGACCAGATGCTTTGGTTTTACACCTATAACTAAATCGTTCCCTTTCATCTGAGTAGATTATCTCTACTTACGCATTCCTATCCTTGCACTCTGAATACTTGGAACTCTATCTAAATGTTTAGAATTCCTTATCTTTTAGGTGTTTGAACCATATTTATACATTGAAATCCTTTAAGTTTAATTGTTAAAAGACTTATCTATCTTTCCTCTTATACTATTACATTTGCGTAAACATTAAGTCAATACAAATTGGGTAGGAAGTTGTCCTTTGTTTTAGGAATGGAATGTGGCTATGATTGGTTGAATATAATTATTGTGACACTTCAATTTATGATGAGAATCATTATATCATAACCAAATCTCATATGAATGTCATGCATATAAATAACCTAGATATTTTCTCTTAATAAAATTTTAAAATTTAATATACTACTTTTATGCCATATTTATGGTCAATATTTTTAAAAATTATTAAATTTTATCGTTTAAAATTTGTTAATTGGGTTTAAACCTCTTTCAACCCCAATAAAACATATTCTAAAAAAATTATTTTTTAATTTTATAATATTGAGTTTACATGCATCATATTAATTAGATCCTTTAAATGAGTTAGTTTTGTATTCATTACAATCATTTGAGTTCAGCTTGACCACACCTTGACTTTTATGCACACTTTAGTGATGTTATATAACCCAACCTTAATTGATTAGTCTAAGGATAGGGTTCAGTTAGATTATTTTGATACAAACTTCTTTTGGTGCTCATCTTTTCTTGTATAATTAGTTAGGGTTATTTGGTATGCATTGAATGTGACTACTTTCTGCACTATGATTGTTATTTTTTTTACATTAACTAACATATGGAAATATGATATTTCTTTTAATAGGGGCATTGTGTCAATATTTAAATAAGCTAAATGAAGGCATTCTTGCTAAAATAAAAATATCATATATGTTTATTTTCTGTTATTATAAATTATTTGGATTTGTCCAGACGCAATGTGCATGTGATGACTCATCTATATTTCATTATATATAATTAGAATGAAATATAGACAAGCCATCACATGCACATTGCCTCTAGACAAACCAAACAATTTATGCAATAAAATACAAGAAAGGTTCTTGATGAATGCATATTCATTATCTTGGAATACATTTAAGCCCATATGGACCATGAGCACTCTATATGATCTAGGTGATGAGGATTAAGTGTATAAGGATCATAATACTTGTCACCATGACTCAAACTAACATAACCCTCATGGCACAGTGGGTCATATTAGGTTGAAAGATTAACATGTAAAATCAAAGATATATTTGAAGTAATATTTTTATCGTCCATTATTTATTATAACATGGAGCTACTAATACATCCTCAGATATAATAGTAAAGTAGAATCATCAACATCATTTTATTTCATATCATAAGACTATGCATTTAATAGTGTTCATATAAAGTAAACATGGTATATATCTCTTTATCCACTAAAATCCAGTATCACTATGAATGCAAAAAATTAACTATAGTCTAGTAAAAGGTATACCTATAACCTCTACTATAATCAACATGAACCATCTTTCCTTCCCTAAAATCAACTCATGTAGATAAAGTAGGGATGAGCATCAATAGCTCAGTAGATTAAATGAAGTTTATAATAATATCCAATGCATGAAAGAAAAGGTAATATGTATGCAATGTATTAACAAATCATAAACAATAAAGCATATTATACATAAAGTGAGTTCACCAACAATAATTACAAATATTGTTACTAATTGTGACACCTTAACCTATTATAGGTTGTTCGATCAGTCCATAGTCAGTAAAAAAATTAATGTGAAAGGAATGCATCAT